TGCTGTATCACATCCTACCTCGTGCATATTTCCAGTTGGAATTCAGTGCATATAAAACTGAAATCATTTCCTTTCCAAAACTAGGTTCCCCTCCTGACTTTGCTAGTCTGGTCACCGTCATCCCGACTACTCAGGCTTGAGACTCCAGGTGCATTTTATTTTTTATTTATTTTTTTATTCTTGCTGCATTTTAACTCGTTTCCTTCTCTCACCCTCTGTAACCGGTTACTGCCAAATCCTTCTGATTCTTCCTCTGCACTACATCTTCTGTTGTCCTCTTTCCGTGATCCTCTTCTGGTTTTGAGTTGTCACCACTGTCTTCTCAGTCCTCTCTCCATGTCTAGTCTTCCCTCCTCTCATTTATCCGTCAGAAACCTGCCAGTATAAGTCTTCTTGAGTTTTTCTCTATCAACCTTCTGTACAAAAACCTTAGCTTCTTATAAGTTAAAGTACAAGCTTCTTTCTCTCCATATGTCTAGTCTTCCCTCCTCTCATTTATCCGTCACAAACCTGCCAGTATAAGTCTTCATGAGCTTTTCTCTATCAACCTTCTGTACAAAAACCTTAGCTTCTTATAAGTTAAAGTACAAGCTTCTCAGCCTGCCTATGTATGGCCATACCCTACTTTTTATTGTGGCAAAAAAACACATAACATTAAATGTACCTTCTTAACCAATTTTTTGTACAGCACAGTACTTATAAGCACATCGTTGCATAGCAGATCTGTAGAACTTTTTATTCTGAAAACTCTGTATCCACTGAACATCTCTACTCCCCCAGCTCCTGGCAACAACCCTGCTACTTTCTGCTTGGAACAGTTTGACTATTTTAGGTACCTCATATAAGTAACATCATGAGTATTTGTGTTTCTGTGAGGGGCTTATTTTACTTAGCATGATGTCCCTTCCAACTGCTTCCCAGTGTGAACCTTCAGCTAATCATGTATTTAAAATTTTTTAAACATTAAAAAAATTTCTGATTATGAAATACTTCAAACATGGAGAAAATATGTAGAAAGTAATCCTACTTATCTACATCTATGACTGTTAACATTTTTCCATATTTCATATGCAGTCAAGTCTCTTAACGAAGGGGATATGTTCTGAGAAATGCATCGTTAGGTGTTTTCATCGTCATGCAAACATCAGAGTGCGTTTACACACACGGATGGTATGGCCTTCTACATACTTAGGCTGTATGGTACAGCCTGTTTCTCCTCGGCTACAACTCTGTGCAGCACGTTACTGTACTAAGTACTGTAGGCAATTGTAACACAGTGGTATTTGTGTATCTCAACATATCTAAACATAAAAAGGTAACCCATCACACCACGAGATATTAATGATGGCTGTGATGTACCAGGCGATAGGAATTTTCCATCTTAATCTTATGGGACCACCATTGTATATGCAGCCTGTCACTGACTGAAATGTTGTTATGCGGTGCATGACTGTAATTCCTTTTTAAAAATAAAAACATTATGGGTATTTCCGAAGACTCTCTGATTCTTTCTCCCTTCCAGAGAAATTACGTCGTGAAATTGGTATTATTTGCATGCCTATTTTTAAAAAAATGTTTGTTTTTTAAAATTTACATAATCAATGTACATAAACAAATCCATTATACACATCCTTTTGTAACTTCCTTGAGTCACCATTGTTTTTGATATTTATCCATGTTGATAGATATAAATCCAGTTCTTCACTTTAACTCTGAATTGTAATATTCCATTGTATGAATAAATCATAGTTTATTCATTTTCCTACTAATTAGCAATTAGGTTTTTCTTGGATTTTTCCTACACAATGCTGAAGTGAATGTACTTGTCTCTTTTTCTGCATATGTGTTTCTCTAGGGCACAGTTCTTCACTTTAACTCTGAATTGTAACATTCCATTGTATGAATAAATCATAGTTTATTCATTTTCCTACTAATTAGCAATTAGGTTTTTCTTGGATTTTTCCTACACAATGCTGAAGTGAATGTACTTGTCTCTTTTTCTGCATATGTGTTTCTCTAGGGCACAGTTCTTCACTTTTTTGTGTGTCATATGCCCTTTTGACTCCAGTGAACTTATGGGTCCCTTCTCTAAATAGTGTTTATAAATGCATAAAGGACATAGGAAACAAATTATTTAAAAATAATTATCAAATTATTAAAAAATCAAATTATGATTTAATAATACACAGGCCTCTAAATCACAACATCTACTGATAGATCTAATAACTTCC